GATCAGAACAGTATGGACTCTAACAGATTTTATCAACAAACCTGACACACTAATTCTAAAATCTGTGAAACAACAAAGGCCAAAAATAGCCACAAAACTTCTAAAGAAGAAGACTATTGTGGGGCACTTGCCCTCCAAGATATCACGACTTATTACAAAGCTACAGCAATCAAGACGACACAAGAATCAACCAGAATGGAGAGTCCAAAACGGGTTCATACACTTACGGAGACTTAGTGTGCATCAGAGACAGCCTCACAGATCAGTGAGAACAGGATGAGATCTTGAACATACAGCGCTGGACAACTGGCTACCCAGACGGGAAGAAATCAGACCCCTGCCGTACACCAGACAAAACACCCATTTCTCACTATTCAAATAATGTGAAAGGCAAACTCCTACAAACCTCAGCTCAGAGAGTGCATTCCTAAAACTGAGAACTTCTACTCCTCAAAAGATCTCATAAAGAAGATGAGAAAGAGAAGTAAAAAATGGGTAGACGAGGGGCTGGCCCAGTGGTTGGGTTCGCACATTCTGCTTTGGTGGCCCGGGGTTTGCCAGTTCGGATCCTGGGTGCAGACATGGCACCGCTTGGCAAACCATGCTGTGGTAGGCGTCCCACAAAGAAGGTAGAGGAGGATGGGTATGGATGTTAGCCAGGGACAGTCTTCTTCAGCAAAAAGAGGAGGATTGGCAGCAGATGTTAGCTCAGGGCTAATCTTCCTCAAAAAAAAAAGGAAAAAAATGGGTAAATGTGGGTAACAAATAAACAATAAAGGCTCTCCATTCAGAAACCATAAAGAACGGCTACAAATCCATAAAACAAGACAAAAATACAACAGAAAAATGAGCAACGAGCATGAACAGGCATTTCACAGAAAATACAGGGCAAATAAAAAACAGGAAATGATACTAAACCAACATGCCTATTAGAAGGCAAATTAAAACCACAACTTTTAATTTTAACACAGACTTTCACCTAGATTGGCAGAGATTAAGAAGTCTGATAATACCAAGTTGTTGAGGATGTGGTGGAGTATAAATTGAGACAACCATTTTGAAAAACAATTTGGCGGCACCTCATAGGTCTGAACATCTGCACATCTACGATCCCACAACTGCTCACTTAGGTGTCCGTGCTCAGACTTTCACTCGTGCGCACCAGGGAACACGCAGGACGTTCACTGCAGCACTTCCCCTAATACCAAAAAGTGAAATTGACCCAAGACTCCACCTACAAGAGGAGGACACACACATCCTGCTACACTCACACAACGGGCTGTTACACAGAAGCCACAATAAACAAACTATACCCATACAACATGCTAAGAATTTTGGATACATAGTGATGAATGAAAAAGCCATTCAGAGACAAAAAATAGACACATGTGATGCATTTTTATAAACCTGGAAAACAAGCCTAACTAAACGATATCTCCGTGTGCATACACACACACAATACACCCGTATAGGGGAATGGCAGACACGAGACTGAGGCTGGCGGACACCTCTGGTGGGGAACTGAGAGGACAGGACGGGATGGTGAGGTAGTTCTAACACTGGTAATGTTCTAGATTGTAGGTTGGCCAATGGGTTCATTTTAGGATCCCATAGTCTCTATGTGAATAATTTACGTAATTTTTAAAGGTGGGACGGAAGAACATAGAGACAGAGAGATCCAACTGATGGCTATTAGACGTGACTATCGGGCAAAGCCTGGACCTTTGAATACAGCCCCTCCCTAGGGGAAAATCAGCCCTTGATCTCACTTGACCGCTCCAGCGTTTGACCCACTGACCACTCCTTACTCACTGGCCCTCGCTGTCCTCTCTGCCTGCATTACTGTAGCCATCTTCCCACGCAAAATGTTCCGCTCACTGAGCATCCCATACACTGCCCCCCAGTATCCACAGGAGCCTGGTACACTGGCCCGCTCTCCCAGCCAATGGCTGACTTTACTACATGCCCAGGAACTCAGACGTAACAGATTCCAAGGGAACTCGTCGTCTCTTCCCAACATGTTCCGTTTCCCTTCTCTGTTAACACTTCTTCTAGGAGCCATTTTTGACTCCTCCCTCTCACTAACCTGCCCAAGTGACAAAACCTAGTGGTTGTAATTCAGAAACCCTCCCTGGGACCCTCTCATCTACTGAGAGAAGCCTGGAACTGCCATCTCTACCTCTGGGTTCTCTGTGCCCCGATCTGTCAGCTTTGTCTTAAGCACAGCTCAGATGAGCTCATACGTCTGCTCAAAAACTTTTAACGACTACCAGCTGCCTATAAGGGTGGTTCTAACACCTTGCTACACACTAGAATAACCTGGTGAGCAAAACTCCTGATGTTCCAGTCCCACCCAACACCAATTAAATTGGAATTCTGAGGGATGGGACCACGGTATCAGTAATTTGTCAAACAGCCTAGCCCTGTTCCTCACATTTTTTCCACAAAGGCCACTATTGAACCCCAATCATGATGGATGGTCCTTACGCCTAGAATGCCCATTTCCTCGTCTCCTTCTGTCAAAATCCCATCCATTTCTTCTCCTTCCAGGTAGGATGAAGTAGATAGAAGCCAGCCAACGTTTCTGTTGCAATAACTTGGGGAAAATGGGTAAATGCAAATATCAAGACGTCAGACAGCTGCAAAAAGGAACAGGACTGAAAGAGAGAACATTCTAGAGGAAACAGCTGTTCCTAGAGAAACTTTTCTTCGCTCAGCAGTCCTTTCCTTCTCTAAGGCATTCCATGAGTCCGGGTGGCGTCTGAGCTTGACCTTGACAAACATGGAGAGACTGGGCTAAAATGAAGATGACACATCTTGCGAGACAGACTGGAAACAGAGGAGCCCAGAGACACGGCTGGTTTCCTGATGTTTGCTCAGCACTAAGGATGCAGGCGGACCAGGGGTGTGGCCAGGCTGGCAAGATGGCGTGACATGTCCTGCAGCTCCAGATAATTAGCGTAATTCCCCACTAGCAGGAAGGGCCTGCAACAGCGCACAGGGAGTCTCCCTTCCCACTATGTGAAACCAGAGGCGCACTGAGCCGTACCGGAGACGTTAACACAGACCTGCCTGCCCCAAATCCTTTTTTTTTTTTCCAAGATTGGCACCTGAGCTAACACCTGCTGTCAATCTTCTTTTTCTTCTCCCCAAGCCCCCGGTACACAGCTGTATATCTAGTCGCGAGTGCCTCTGGTTGTGGCACGTGGGACGCCGCCTGAGTGTGGCCTGATGGCGGTGCCAGGTCCGCAAAGGGATGCGAACCGGCGAAACCCTGGGCCGCCGAAGGGGTGCGCGAACTTCACCCCCGGCCCCGGGCCGGGCCTCAAGCGCACCTGTGACTGAGCGCAGCCCCGCCGCTCCCGCGCAGACGCCCCGCAGGCCGACGGAAACCGCCCCGCGGCGCCTCGGGTCCCGCACAAGCCCGGGGAGCGCCGGGCCCGCCGGCGGGGGCAGCCGAGGACCCGCCGGAGGACCCGAGGAGGCTCTGTGCAGCTCTGCGGACCGGCCTCTCGAGGCCTCTGGGCTGTTGGCGGGGAGTCTGGGGGTGGCGGCTGGACACCCTGCGACAGCCGCGGAGCCTGAAAGTCTGTTTTCTGTGACAGTGGGTGGCCTGGGGGTGGTGAGAGGAACCGAGATCACCCCCTTTTGTCGGGAAAACGATTTGGGAATCAGAACAAAACTGAAGTCAGCACGGCCGGCGGGCCCTTCCCGCGGGGGTCGGGGCGGCGAGGCCAGCCCCCGGGGGCGACAGGCGCACACGCGCCGCCGCGTCCCAAGCAGCAGGGTCGCGGTCGGGCCGTGGAGGACGCAGCTCCCCCCACGGGCCAGCCGCGTTGGTCCCGGGAAGTCGGCGTGCCTCCCGCGAGCCGCACGTGCTTCTCGGAGGCCAGACACGAAGCGCGCGCGGCCCGTCCCGCGGGAGCGGCTCCTCATCCCCGGCCCCGGCCGGCGAGCGCCCGGACCCGCCGCCGCACCGGGCACCGCTCGTCAGCACGCAGCCGCTCGCGGCCCCTCGGACCCGTCCCACTCCGCAAGGCCGGCAGCGCCGTCTCTCGTTCCCGACCGCACGACCGCCAGTGCCCGGTCGCCCCGGCCAGCTCGGCGGGAACTGCCGGGTCTACGACGTGTCCAAGCAGCCCGCTCGCGGTGCGCGGACGTCCGCCCCTCCTCCGGGCCTGCCAGCCGGGGCAGCCGCGCTCCGGGCGCCCCCTCCCTGGCCCAGCCCCTCGGCAGGCGGGCGCCCGCGCGGACCGGGCTCACGTCCGGCCTGACCCCGCCGCCAGGGAGCCCGGGCACGGCCCGCCCCTCCGCGCCCGGTCCCCGGCCTCCGCCCCGCCCCGGGCTCTGCCGTCGGGCCCCGTCCGCACGCCCAGCGCGCGGCTCCTCAGGGTCACCCTGGAGGTGACGAGGGACCCGCGCGCAGCCCCGTCCCCTGGCCCCCGAGGCAGCTCCCAGCGGCGCGCCAGGGCGGGAGACCGCCCCACGCGGCACGTCGGCAAGGCGCCTCTGGGACGCCGAAACGCACGAACGCGAGCGACCCGGCGCCCTCCGCCCTCTGACCCCGGACGGCGCGCGGCAAGCCAGGAGCGCAGCTCCACGACGCCCGCGTTGCATGCCGGGACCAGCCGTCTAACGACACGGAATACCAGCGCCTGATCGGGCTGTGGGACGGAGGCCCGCGTTGCATGCCGGGACTCGTAGTTCTCAGGACGCCAGGCCTGAGCGCGTGACGGGCGGGGCGGTGGGACGGCGGCCCGCGTTGCATGCCGGTAGCCGTCGTCCCACGACGCCGGCGATCCTAGGGCAGATGGGGCGTGTAGCGACACTGTTCCCGCCGGGCCCACCCCGCAGGCTGGTTCTTGGACGCTTCCGGTACCCGCGGCCAGCGCAAGGCCTCCCGGGCCCGCGCGGGCGTGTGTTCCCGCGGGCCCCTCGGCGCACGCACGCATGCGGCGTCACGTGACGTCGCACGCCGTCCCGGAAGCCGGCGCGGACCGGGGCGGCGGGTGGAAGCCGGTGCCGGAGTGGGTGTTGTAGCGCCGCCGCCGCCGCCTGGGCCGCGTCTCCCGCCCGCGATGGGCGCCGGACCCTGAGCCCCGCCCGCCGACGCGTTTTCTCAGCACCCGCCAGCCGCGATGGAACCGCCGCCCGCCGCCCGCCGTCCCGCCGAGGGCGCCCCGCCGGCTGCCGTGGCCGAGGTGCGCTGCCCGGGCCCCGGGCCGCTGCGCCTGCTCGAATGGAGGGTGGCGGCGGGCGCAGCCGTGCGTCTCGGCTCCGTGCTGGCCGTGTGCGAGGCCGCCGCCTCCGCGCAGTCCCCCGGGCCCGCTCCTGCCCGCGCCGGCTCTGGGGGCTGCGTGCGCGCAGAGCGCCGGCTGAGGTCAGAGCGCGCCGGCGTGGTGCGGGAGCTGTGCGCGCAGCCGGGCCAGGTGGTGGCCCCCGGGTGAGTGGGGCCGGCGGGGAAGGAAAAGGAGGGCGTCCCGGGCCGGTAGAGAGGACGAGGCCGGGGTCTGGAGAGGGTCCTGACCAGGAGAGGAGCGGGAGGGGCTGGACAGAAGTCCCGCACCAGGAGAGGGGATGGGGCCGGGGTCTGCAGGGGGTCCTGACCAGGAGAGGGGCGGGGAGGGGCTGGACAGGAGTCCCGGCCCAGGAGAGGGGATGGGGCCGGGGTCTGCAGGGGGTCCTGACAAGGAGAGGGGCGGGGGGGTGTGGACAGGAGTCCCGGCCCAAGAGAGGGGATGGGGAGGAAGAGGTCTTGGATCAGAAGTGATGGGGCTGAGGTCTGGAGGTCGTTCCAGGCCAGGAGAGGATGGGGCCAGGGTCTGAAGGGGGTCTGAAGGGGTCCTGGCCCAGGAGAAGGTTGGGTGCCGAGGTGGGGAGGGGTCTTGGGCCTGGCTCTGGGCAGGAAGGTGTCCCCAGGACTGCAGCGGAAGGGGCTGCACTCGGTGTGCATCTGTGTGTCTTTCTAAGGCCGGATGACAGTCACTACTTGTTGTTTTACCGGTCGGAGGCTCTGCCTTTGCAAAGGTGGTGAGCCACGAAGTTGCACTCTAGGAAACAGTGCAGTGCTGTCGTCCTTCTGTAGCAGGTGGCTTCCCCACTCTCAGACTCCGCGTTTGTAAGTTAAGAAAACTCAGCCAGCTCCGTGCTGTCCTCTTGGCATAAACCGGGAGGGAGCACGCCTCTAGGTTCGAGGAAGCTGTGAAGCGTGGCTGTGATCCTGGCGCAGTTCTGCATCAGCTCGGGAAGGGGTGCAGCCTTGCACAGGGAGTTCAGGGGACGCAGAAGTACCCCTTCCCGCGGTGGGCTGCAGCTCTCCCTACCTTGCTTTTAACCTCATAAAGGGACTTTGTTGTTTTTTTTGAAGTGTGTGAACCTGACAGCCTATCCGTGTGAGTTTCCCAGTGTTGTGCTCTGAGGTTAGGTTGGTGTGTTGACAGGTGTGTGCACGTGACTGTGGTTGTCATTGTCAGGAGTGGAAAGCCAGGGTAGTCAGCGTTCCCGTCTGTAGAGGTTGGTGTGCAGCTTTTCTCTGCTGGGCCCCAGTGCAGCCTGGGTGCTCAGTCCCCTTTCTGCCCTCGCTGGCCCTCCTCTCGTGGTGCCACTTGCTCTGGCCTCTGCTTCTCTCCCTGTGGCCTGCACTGACCCTCTGGCTGTTGAGCATTTGCTCCCCACCCTTCACATGGCAGCTGATGACCAGGATAGGATGGGGTAGGACAGGCCTCCACCCCAGCCCTAGGAGCCCAGTCCTTCATTCAGTTTTCCTGGCTCATCGTTTGGACAGAGCCTGGGTCCTCAGCCTTTGGCTCAGGCGCCTACGCTTGCCCAGTGAATGCAGGTGGAGTGCAATGGGGGCTGCCTTGAGCGGCACTCTCCACCGGAGCTGTCTGCCTGACCTCTTGGGAGAGAGGGGCTAACTGTGCCATCCGTGTGACACTGTGGCGTCCTGTCGTCATTACTTTGAAGTCAGATGTTACCTGACCATCGCTCGGGACCTAATGAGCCTATAAACCCATCAACTCATAAATTATGGAGGTGAAGCTCAGTGCTGGTGTGTCACTGTGTAGAAAACCCCTGAAGTGGAGAGCTTTTCTCCCCGCCATTCTCTTCCTCTAATTGTATGGAGAAGGCTGCTGAGGCCCAGACAGGGCAGCGACAGGTGACAGCTGGTTAGTGAGAAACTCCACGTGCAGTGCTTTGGTCCCATCAGCTGATTGCAGGAACCTGATGCATTAATCTCACCAGTCAGCCAGGTCCTAGTGTGAGCAGTTTTCTTTGCGTGTGTTTGTGTTGAGGTCCTAGGTGTCTCACTCTGGTGGTTCATCACTGGCCTCCAAGAGTCTGCCGAGTGGTCACATTTCTCCTGGGATGCAGGTGCGAGTGGGAATGAGGAAGGCACCAGCACAGAGCCAGGCTCCCCTGGCTGGAACTGTCTTTGCCATCATCATTCTGTCACCAGCAGGATGCATCCTCACCGCATCCAGTTATTCTCCAGCAATGAGCAGTCCTGGGAACTTAGAAACCCTGTGTCTGGGCGTAGTTGAAATGATTGCCCTGTTACCCCTGTGACCCGTGATAGGATTGTACGTGTTTATAGTGTTTCATGCTGTCAGGTAGAGGTGGGCCTCCTCTTATTCCACATACAGGAGGGAACTGAGGTCCCGTGAGGTTTTGACATGTGCAGCACCTCACCTTGCTGAGTGCTCTCTTGTTCCTCCTCCGTGCTGTCTCTTCCTTAGGCTGCACTTCATCCAGAGGGTCCCCGTGGGGGCAAGTAGATAGAATGAAGGTATGTGTCTGTTTTCATAACATCTATGTGGGTTAAAATTATTTTGATTTGAAAATATTGTGACAGGGCACCATTTGTCAGAAACTAAATCTGTTAGTTATTAGTTTACCTGATGATGTCCTTCCTCCCCACCTGTCTGCTTTTTTGTCTGTCGTCATTCACTGGGAGACACTGAAGTCCCCAAAGGAAAGGAAGCTACATAAAATAATCAAGGGGGCCAGCCCTGTGGCGTAGTGGTTAAGTCTGGCATGCTCTGCTTTGGCAGCCTGGGTTTGCAGCTTAAGATCCCAGGCGCAGACCTACACCACTTGTCAAGCCATGCTGTGGCAGCATCCCACATAGAAAATAGAGGAAGATTGGCACAGAGGTTAGATCAGAGCTAATCTTCCTCAAGCAAAAAAAGAGGAAGACTGGCAACAGATGTTACTCAGAGCGAATCTTCCTCACCAAGAAAAAAATCAGGGAACGAGTCTGGTGATGAGTAAGGACCGACACAGGAGAAGACTGGGAGTGTCTGCATCCTTAGTGGACATCTGACCAGCTTTAGTTGTGCTGTGTACCCTGTCTGTCTGCAGGAAGAGTGTCTGCATCGGCCGGAGTTTACGGTGAGCGCTGCTGGAAAGCAGGGGAGGATAACTGAACAAAATGAAAGTTGCAGCCTGGCCGTCTCCATTGCTCTTTGGGCTCCAGAATAAAGGAGCTGGATGAACACGTGCAGAAGACAGCCTTAGATTAGTGCCCATTTTAGGGTTCCAGACTTGGGTAGTGAGGGGTTTTTAAATTCTAAACACGGTTCGGTCAGTGCAGTAAGGTGATTGTCCAAATAGGTCTTGCCTTGGAGCAAGGACATTACTTTCTCGTCCTGATATCAAGAATCCTGACAAATCAGTAGACTCTTTTAGTTAAATCACCTTACCCCTCCCTGTTGACATGTGCGCTATTTAAAAGATTAGTTGGTTTAAAAGACATTTATGTCTAAAACTGAGGAAATTGTTACTTTGTTTACTTGAACCCATTAAACTTAATCTTTACTTCAGAGGGATTTCTGTTTTGTCTTTCTCCAGTTTTCCCTTAGAAAACCATTGGCCTTGTCACCCTTAGCTCTGTGTGTGTATACAATTTATCTTTGCTGCAGTTGTTTTGGTTTTTAGGTGTCTTGTCTAATCTTTTAAATAAAAAGTCCTTTGAACCAAATGGCCTTTGAAGTGTCTGCCTAAAAAAGGACTTGTGGGTTTTAGGAAATTGTAGTTTGCATTATCAGATTTGTCTCCATGTTCGTGTTTTCTTTAAAGTTAATTTTAAAGTGTGTCCATGAAATTAAATATCTAGTTAGTAGAGTGGGCGAATCTTCAACTTTGTATGTATTTTAAAAGACAATGCACAAGTACTGATATTAAAGCTAAAGATAACAACAGCAAATGTAATGTGTCACTTGTCTCAGAAAAAGTGCTTTTTATATTTAGGGGAGTGAGAGTCTAGAAAAAGAATAAGTCAATTTCAGAGTGTTTGTGTAACGTCTTAGAAGGTACATCTATTTCCTAAAGGTTGTAAGTAGGTTTTAAATATAACTCGTTTAGCGTTTTATGTTCACACAATTCCTCATAACTTCCAGAAGAACTTGAGCTAAATTTTAACCTATTTAATCTCTGTATTGTTTTTTTCTTCTTCTCCCCAAAGCCCCCTAGTGCATAGCTGTACATTCCAGTTGTGAGTGCCCCTGGTTGTGCTATGTGAACACCACCTCAGCATGGCCTGATGAGCCATGCCGTGTCCACACCCAAGATCCGAACCCACAAAACCTTGGGCCACTGAAGCGGAGCCTGCAAACTTAATCCCTCGACCACTGGGCCGGCCCCAAACTTTGAATTTTAAAAGAGGCTCCTGGTTTTCTTGTGGTGCTTTTGGTTGTGTGCTTTGGTTTGGAGCTGCTGGCTCCATGCTGTCGTGATGTGTTTCGTGTGCTGGTTCTAAGTCTGTGGGAATGATGGAGTTCGGTCCATTGTGTGTTAACTGATAGGTGTGTGCATACTCCACACTGCTTTTCATATGAGCATGGTGTGGGGATGGTGCTGCTTTTTAAGGCTGGAAGCGTTTAAATTTGCTGGCATGTCATTTTGAAGAATTTCACAGCCCTCCAGGTTGCGGGCTGGAGACACTGCAGCACTGAGGCCCTCTGAGCTGTTGACCCAGCAGTGCAGGGGAGTCTGGGTGCATGTGGTTCCACCTGCTTTAGAAATGTGTTAGGAAGGTAGAGTTTGTCAAGTAAGTCACCCTGGAGCACCCTGGAAGGGTTCACAGTTCTGAGAGCGCTCTGTAGGCTTCCTCTGCAGCGTCTGTCCTTGGTTCCGTTGCGCTGGGAATGGCCCTCCTAGTCCTGCCCTCCCTCGCTTCTCCTTCAAACGCTGGGGCCTTTTCTCTTAGAACCGCAGCTTCAGAGCCCAGACCGGAGCAGGCCAGGGTTCTCTGCAGTGGCTTTGTCCTGGCTCGGGGTGTGTCCAGCCCCTTGCCCAGCTTGACTGATGGGGGTGTGTTGATGACCGTCTCCCCACCTCCCGCAGTACTTGCAGACAGAACACCTACACATTTAGCTCCTTTTTGGACACATTTTCAGACTTAGCGGAACCCTGCAGGAATAGTACCAAGAGTTCTCAAGA